CTTTATCAGGAAACCCCACAGGATTATATACTGGTAATGTAATCATACTAATCATGCAGTCCATTATATTTTAAATGCTATAATCTGTAAAAGGAAACATTCAGGGTAGACATTACAGAGAACTTTAATGATGCTGGGTCACTAATGACATTTTACTTACATACTTATTTGGCTTAACTCTCAATCACTGAACCCTCTAAAGTCAAAGCGAATTTTCTAATCTAAACAAGCCAAAACAGGCAAGCAAATTTCCTGCTCTCACAATTGCTAGTTTTAAGGCCCTGCTCTTTTCATTAGGTTCTCCCTTCAGAAGTTTAGAAGCGCCCCCATCTGTCTCATTAGTGCAAGAACAAGGCATGCCAAACACCAACATAGCAAGCTAAATGGAAGGTGGCCTTTCAATACACAACCACATCAATCTCAGCCCTCATTTCAGACACAGTGGCCAATCAAAAATTTCCGTAAACAGGAAGCAGACCAACAATATTTGCTTCCTTCCAGACAAGCCAACACTTAGTCACCTAGTTATATTTAGGGTGTATACAGAAGAGAGGAAATGAAAGATACTTACTGAAGTATTTGCAGAGATATACATATATACACACACCCATAAATATGAAAAGATTAAGTCATTAAGCCACTTGTAAGAGAAAAGACTAGAAAGGCAGACATGTCTCTGGCATCACAGCACAGACCTTCAGGGGGTACTATGTACATTACAGTGCAGTTCCACCCATTCAGGATCCCTTAAAAAGGACTGCATACTAATAGTGCTCAATAAATTAATATTAAGTTTCAGAAATGGTTTTTTATTTAAACAGTATATGCAAAAAAATAAAAAAATAAAATTCACCACCCTTTGCTTTGTTCCACAATGGAGGAGTTGCAGCATCCTGTATAGAGATTAAGAGATCCTACTGATGCTACTCACCTACATCACAATCTTAAAAACATACAAACACCTCATTACTGACCTATAATCTTATTCCAAGTACATCCAAAGAAACAACTAGTCAATTCAAACATGCAAATATTAAAGCTGATACATGGAAATTACAAGAAAAGCCAATGAAAAGCATTAAACAACTTTAAACTTTATTCCATTCAAGAAAACTACACAATTAAGTAGATATCAGTGTAGCCTTCAGTTCTTAATCCCTTCAAGCATGGCTCCAGTGTGATGAACAGCCAACGGCTGCCACGGGTAGTCTGATTCCAGGATATGCTGTATATCTGTGCAAAGAAAGAATTCAAATAATTTGAGGAAATTTTTATACAGCAGAACAGTGTGGAGAGTTTGGGGGTGAGGAGCACTGCACCAAGAGTGTGGAACATGTTCGATTACAAGTAGAAAATCGAGGGCTTTAAAATAGCAAGTGTTCCTTCCAACTGAACTGGATTTCCCCTTTTCCAACACAGAGGATACCCAACAGACCATTGAAAGGCTATAATTTTGGCCTCTGTTTGAAACCAGCAGTTACAGCCAACTGCTGGTCTTGATTCAGGGCCGTAGTACCTTTCCCAGGTCCGGCAGAGGAAGGGAGCATGCAAAGGAAAACGAAGAGCACGAGAGGGCTGCGTTTTATTTTTAACTGCAGAAGTACCCGCAACGTCCATTCTCAAAGTCTACCATATTGGGCCCATTTTCAAAATATAGCCGATGCTGTTTATTCTTTATAACAACGTCATCATTAAAGAAGTCATATTAATAAAACAATTCGGTGGTCCGGAGGGGCTCCTCACGTGGCCAGGACACTGCGTGGCGAGCGCCAGGAGCCCGAACCGAAAGATAATGCTGGATTACTGGCAGACAGTCAGCAGATCCCGATGATAAAAACACATGGGAATACTTCTACTTCATTAACGATATACTGCCGTCATCGGTCCACACCACGTCTTGCTTAAAAGCACAGCCATTTTATCAAAACAGTTACACACATGTATTTTTTTGTAAACAGCCCAATTTAGAAATAAATCTCGCATTTGCGTCACAACAAATTATCTTAGTCCTTAACACATAAAGCATTTCTTTAATTACCTTACCTGTTACCTCTTAACTGGAACGCAGCGCCAACTACACTAAACACGTTTCTGTCCACTTACTCTACGGCAGTAATGGCGCTTCAATCCTATTTTAAAGGCCGATACCGCCACCTACCGCGCTGGAGTGTGACGTAAAGCGTCTGCATTGACCACACTGAAAGGGGCGGTTTTTCATTTTGATTAAACTACATAATGATCTGGACGGCTCCCATTCTTCCCAGTCAGGATAGAGTGCTCCCTGGATTGCATGGCAGTCTTTCACAGCGTACATATATACATACACATTATGGGCAATTAGGAAAAGTTTAACTATATGTCTTTGGATTACAGGAGGAAACCCCCCCCCCATCACTGGGAGAGCATGCAAACTCCACGCACACACACACAGTAGTGAGATTTGAACCTCCAATCCAGGTATAAAATGACCGTGTTTCCCACTGAACTGCCATGCCACTCAAGGAAAATTAAATACTTACTAATTATGTATCAATGTGTAATGCGATGATTGGTATGTTAAATCCAGTACAGTACATTTAATTAGATTATTTATCATGTTTCCTTTAAAAATTTTAATCCATGACTTAATCTCAGATATAAGACATAAATCAGATAGACTGTGCCTATTCCTGGGCAGCCAGCATTTCATCTGTCTCCCTGACCGAATAACTGTTTGCAGTTTTTATATAGAAAACAAGGAGAGAAACCTCTGCAATTCAGAATAATATAATGACATTTATCTATTTGGCAGACATTTCTTGCCAAAGTAACAAAACAATTGAAAAGCAGCCAGCACTTGGAGAAGTTGGGGGTTAAGGGCTTTGTTCAAGGCCATAATAGTTAAATCAGTCAGGTGACCACAGGATTTGAACCAACAACCTTCTAATCAGAGAGCCACACATCACGCAAGTGCATAATTACTGGAGAACGGCCAGTCTCTGCCTCCACAACAGTTACAGGAGACATTCAATATAGCAGGAATGTAGCCCAGTTCATTATTCCTGAACAGCTCACCAGGGTAAATAAAGATTCTCATTATTTAGTCACATGTGGCTGTGATCCCCACTACAGGAGCATCTGCACTGTATTGCAAAGTCAGCACAAATATCATGATTGCAGCAGGCCTATTTATTTTGACTGCAGTATTGAGTTGTCATATTTCAGTTGATTCCCAGGGAAGACCACCTGCTTTAAAATGGGAAATAATGTTTTCAAAATTTTGGGTCAGCCTCAGTCACTCCAAATTTCAGGCCTGACAGGCTGGTCGGAGGGCAGCCAAGTCCCATTCAGACCCGGACTGGCCATCTGTCATACCGGTCAATTTTCTGGTAGGCCAATGGATATCCGTGCCTGCAAAACTCATTATGGGAATGCATGGGTGGTGGGTCTGAGGAAAAGTCCAGGACCAATTTTTAATCCCTGTCCAGTCCTGGTCCTATTCAACATGCTTACATGACAAGTTATTATAGAAATGAAGTATAGAATGTGCTGCTTTTTGCCATCTGTGGCTGGTGCAACTTTATGACAATTTTTGTTATTATTTTGCTTAGTTAGGCAAGCAGGTATTTTAAAAAGGCACCAAAGATGAGTGATAAGAAAGAATTATAAAGCACATATTATAATGCAGAAACTGAATTTTCTCCAGATTTAGATTTCGATCTTATCCCAAAACATTGAATTTTAATTCAGCTAAAATCTAAATAAATTAGTATGTTATTTTAAAATGTTGTCATTATAACAATTCTGCTGTTCCACATGACTCCATACATTGGTTTACCGCCACTTATACAGATCAGCAACGGGAATAAAGTAAAACTCTTCATGATATCTACAGTCGTGGCCGAAAGTTTTGGGAATGACACAAGTATTGGTTTTCACAAAGTTTGCTGCTTCAGTGTCTTCCCCCCTTGGGCGTCTTCAGTGTCAGATGTTTCTATGGTATGCTGAAGTATAATTGTGAGCATTTCATAAGTGTCAAAGGCTTTTATTGACAATTACATTAAGTTTATGCAAAGAGTCAATATTTGCAGTGTTGGCCTCTGCAATTCACCCTGGTGTGCTGTCAATCAACTTCTGGGCCAAAACCTGACTGATGGCAGCCCAATCTTGTATAATCAATGCTTGGGGTTTGTCAGAATTTGCAGGTTTTTGTTTGTCCACCCGTCTGTTGAGGATTGACCACAAGTTCTCAATGGGATTAAGGTCTGGGGAGTTTCCTGCCCATGGACCCAAAATGTTGATGTTTTGTTCTCCAAGCCACTTAGTTATCACTTCTGCCTTATGGAACGCTGCGCCATCAAGCTGGAAGAGGCATGTTCATCACTAAACTGTTCTTGGATGGTTAGGAGAAGTTGCTCTCGGAGGATGTTTTGGTGCCATTCTTTATTCATGGCTGTGTTCTTAGGCAAAATTGTGAGTGAGTCCACTCCCTTGGCTGTGAAGCAACCCCACACATGAATGGTCTCTGGATACTTTACTGTTGGCATGACACAGGACTGATGGTAGCGCTCACCTTTTCTCCAGAAAATCTTTTTTTTCCGGATGCCCTAAACAATCGGAAAGGGGATTCAACAGAGAAAATGACCCGACTTGAAACCAGGCCTTCCTCTTCTCCTCACTGTGCGTGCAGATGCACTCACACCTGCCTGCTGCCGTTCCTGAGCAAACTCTGCACTGGTGGATCCCGCAGCTGAATGGAGATGATCCTGGTGCTTGCAGGACTTTCTTGGACACCCTGAAGCCTTCTTCACAACAATCGAACCTCTCTCCTTGATGTTCTTGATGATCCGATAAATGGTTGATTTAGGTACAGTCTAACTAGCAGCAATACCCTTGCCTGTGAAGCCCTTTTTGTGCAAAGCAGTGATGACTGCATGCGTTTCCTTGCAGGTAACCATGGTTAACAGAGGAAGAACAATGATTTCAAGCACCACCCTTCTTTTAAAGCATCCAGTCTGCTATTCTAACTCAGTCAGCAGGACAGAATGATCTCCAGCCTTGTCACCCTCAACACTCTCACTGAAATTATGTCTGCAGGTCCTTTTGTGGCAGGGCTGAAATGCAGTGGAAATGGGTTTTTTAGGATTAACTTAGTTTTCATAGCAAAGAGGGACTTTACAATTAACTGCAATTCATCTGATCACTCTTCATAACATTCTGGAGTATATGCCAATTGCCATCATAAAAACCGAGGCAGCGGACTTTGTGAAAAACAAAACTTGTGTCATTCTCAAAACTTTTGGCCACGACTGTACAGATGGCAGCAGCAGCCCTCGTCATTTTAACATGAGAAGTGAAAGCGAATGGAAGAAACGCGGCACGTCCTATTGGTCAAGGCGGATGTCCGTCAGCGAAGAGCCCAGGACGCCCGAGGCAGCTGAGCAGCGGCGCGGTGAGGCGCTGTCCCGGGAACGCGAGGCCTGCGGAGAGAGCGCTCCGCTGGTAGGTATCAAGTTTGGGATGCGACCGAAGAGAAAGTTGTGGTTCCGCGCAGCTTGGGTGCCGGGAAAGTGCTGTGTCCAGACTGGGGCGCTGTCCGAGGGGGAGGGTGACGTGCTCGTGTTTTAACGGGCTCGCAGAGTGGGGGAGGGGAACCGATGATCAGTGGCGATCAATAAAGTGTCTTCTGAGTACATTTATGCGCCTGATCGGCACGGTTACTTTCCGGTACAGTCGGAGGTGTCTGCATGTGCTTTATTGTATTATGTGCACGGTATGTAAATAAACATGTCCTGACCGTTCATCCACTTAAACTTTACACCGGTTGACGTTTATCGAAAGAAACGAGAGGTAAACGGTGCAGATTGCCGTTTTATACAAGACTACAGCTTCTTAGAGCACGAGTGATAACAACGGTCCTAAAGTACATGCATTGCGTGGTTCTTCGGTCGATTAAACATTCACGTTATGAAAAATCTGGACAGTGTTATGGTTAAGTGTTAAGGTTCATGTATCATACCATGAAAAACTTTTTAAACCTGTGTAAGCCTAGTTGTGTATTTTTGTTGTGTATCGGTAGGATTTGCCGATTGCTGAGATAACGGTTTATTGTTTTCTCTTTGTTTATTTCCCATCACCAGTCTAACTTCATGGTTAATCTTACAGATGTTTTTCCGGAAAGCTGACAGACATATAGTAAATAGGAAACTGCTTAGATTAGTAGCTTCTTAAATGAGAATTGTCTGTAAATAAAAACTATGTAACTTTCTTTTTTTAAACATTCTTTCAGCGCCTCTTGGAAATGACGGCAATCTCCTCTTCCTGGAATTTTAATTTGCTTCGCTCGGGAAGTTACTCGGTGTGCGTTCTTTGTTGCAGGGTGGAGGGGCATTTATCTGAATTATACGGAGCTTGCTGGTCTTTCTAAGTAAGTTGATCAGTCTTAATGATAAAATTAAGGAGGATTGTGCATCCATGGCAGTTTATTTTGTCTTCTTACATTTTCCAAACAGATCCTTTTTGTTGTGTCACCATTCCTTTCTGTCCTCTCAGTTCGAACTCTCTAACCTTGTTTTCCCCTCTCAGATTTACAGCATTCTCCAGCCCAAATGGCAGGGCGCCCCTTGCGATTCAACGGCCAACCTCAGCCCAGCAAACTGTGCCAGTTCAAACTGGTACTGCTGGGAGAGTCTGCAGTGGGCAAGTCCAGTTTGGTGTTGCGCTTTGTCAAAGGCCAATTTCAGGAGTACCAGGAGAGCACCATCGGAGGTACAGAGGTCACCGCATTATAGATACAGCTTGTGTATATTAACTAGCATTGCAGCCATAGTGGTCTAGTACTAATGAGAAAAAATTAATAATTATTCATAAAAAGTGCAGAGAATGCCATGGGAGGGGAAGCACCTGAGGTCCTGAGGAGTATAGTCACTTCCTTTGTAGATGTAGAGTGAAACATCTTCCACTTATCACCAGCAAACCAGTGGCTGGTAATTATGGGTTATTTTCACTGTCTATTAGCGTGTGACATGTAGTCATCAAAGCTTTGACATGCTGAATTTTTCTGCTCTCTTTTGCCGCCCACCCCAGCTGCATTCCTGACTCAGTCTGTGTGCCTGGACGACACCACAGTGAAGTTTGAGATCTGGGACACGGCTGGACAGGAACGCTACCACAGTCTGGCCCCCATGTACTACAGAGGAGCCCAAGCGGCCGTTGTGGTGTATGACATCACTAATGCAGTACAGCCACGAAGCCTCGCACACATTCCATGCTGTAAACTTGCTTTATCATTTATGTAACTATTCTAAATATGTGCACATGTCCCCTGCTGTCACCTCAAGGAGACGTTTGCCCGTGCCAAGACTTGGGTGCAAGAACTTCAGAGACAAGCCAGCCCGAACATTGTAATGGTGCTGGCTGGGAACAAGGCCGACTTGTCCGGCAAGAGGACCGTGGAATATGAGGTACATTCGCGTCGGGCCCCTTGTGTGAGGGCCCCACTGACACCTAATGGCCTCAGTCTGACCCCAAATTCCCTTCTGTCAGGGGGCACAGGTCTATGCAGATGACAACAGCCTTCTGTTTATGGAAACCTCTGCAAAGACTGGAATGAATGTCCGTGACCTTTTCCTCGCCATCGGTAAGACCTCAAAAATCAGCTAAACTAAACCGGCTGTCCAGAAGTATTAGAATAACATGCAGACTAAACAATGTAATTGCTGCATTTTCAGCTTTTGCCTGGTCAGCATGTTGGAATAAAGCAGAAACCTTGAATATTATTCTGTTTAGGTTGTTCAGCTATTAGTGTGAATGAAATTAGTGTGAATGCTCTGTATGACCTTAATAAACCACAAAACTGAGGTTTATGGGACGTTTGCTACCTTTGTTGTCCTGGTCAGTTAGCTTTAATTGTAAGTATTGAAACGCATGCCATAACAAATATCAAGGCCTTATTTGGATATTGCCAAAGTAGGCATTCCAAATAAGGTATGGAATGTAACTTAGGAATCTGGAAGTAGCTTTACAGATTTTCCCTTAATTTGAGTGTCAGTTTGATTATGGGAACTGTCAGAATGGAATATGCCGGCAGCTTTTATTTGACTGAAGAAACATATAGACTTTTAGGCTGTCAATTCACACCTGTTGCGCAAATGGCAGAGTTGCAACACACATAACCATGCTTGCTTATGACGCCATTGTGTCTCGCACCCATGCAAGGGCAGGGCTTGGTCAGGGCCCATGAGCTTAGAGGTGGCATGTAGAATACTTGTTGCCCTGTGACTTCTGATGCGTAGCAATGTAGCGAGAACTTGCCGGAGAAAATGACAGTGAAGGTGTAAACTCTGATTGCATCCATCATAGTAACAGTGATCAAACACAGGCAAACATGTTTTACAAGCTGAATTGTAAATTAATTATTGACAGAAATATGACAAGATTAGTCTGTTATATAAGCAGTGACTATTAATTGAACTACAGACTGATCTCATTTATTGCATGAAGGTTCTACATAAAGATCCTAAAATTGCAGTTTTGATATTGATCTTCGGGTAAATGTGTCCTGGTTGCTGTGTCCTTGTTCTCTGCAGCCAAGAAACTGCCAAAAAATGAGCCTCAGAGCAGTGCAGGTGGGGCCGCGGGCCCGGGGGTTCGAGCAGGTGTTGATCTGAACCAGCCCAGTCAGGCTGTCAAGGGCCAGTGTTGTGGGAACTGAGAAGAGCAAGCCTTTGCAGGAGAAAACGAACAGGTGGACCTCAAGTGTCTGGTTTGATGGCGAGAGCACATATAACAGGAATAAATATAGGCATCTCACAACATGCCCCCTACACCAAAGTCTTCTTTTACCTGGCAGAGCTCTGCTGCCCAGCTGGAGTGGAGCTGTCCAGGTACTCTTTGGCACAGGCAACCAGGGAGGGATGTGAAAGGGAGGGATGTGACAGGGAAGGCTGGGCCACAAAGCAAAGAACCCCACCCTGAGCTGTTTGGCGTTGAGGAAACTCGGCATCACCAAGATACACTAAATGCTGTTGAAGCCACATACCTTCTTGGACGTGGACTTCAAACACACTTGGTCTCTCTATAAACATTTGGTTGAGTGGTGAAGTCGATAAGAATGATGGGAGATAAGAACTGAAGATGCTTACCTGAGTGGAGTGTTTCTTTAACTTGGGTCCATCAAAGGTAGCCGTGTCCTTCATAGGACGGCATGCCTGCTTAATGGGCTCCTGTCTGGGGGGGCCTTGCTTTGAATTTCTTGCAGGATGGACACCTGGGTGCCACTCAAAAGTGGATGTACAGGTTCCACAATAATTTTGGGGCTTTATAACAGGTGGAAAGGCTGAGTCGATATGCTTTACAATTACAATCACATGGGATGCCATTGGCTATATGAAAACTGAGTGCTTAGTGCCTAAATAAATAACATTTGTACATTACAAGTATAACATGCTGGAAAAGTGCAAGTATGGTCAATTGAGGACAGAGTTCACAGTAATGAGAGATAAAGTCTTTGACAATCCTGACTGAAGACAGACACCAAATACAGGTTAGCGTCATATGGGTGTAGATATGACTAATAAAAGGAATTAACAAAGGCAGAACCTAGATGTGTATTTGTATAAGCACAGTCACAGTCCTCACTTATAGCTCCTCCTGTCATCTGCCAGCCAATATTTTCTTCATGTTAAATGGAAATTTAATTTTAATACATTTCAGTAAAGCAAACAAAAGAAACTTAAGCAAAGGGTAATTTTACCATCTTATCAATTACACATGGGAACAGTAGATCTTGCCTTTGAAAAGATCATTATTCAATAAGATGCTCAATTCAAAAACATTTTTTTATTTGCTAGCACTGTATTTAAAAAAAATATGTAAAAATAATTAAAAGCATAACCAAATTATGTGTGCATGCAGTTTAAACACTGGACTGACTTTCTGTAGACATTTTTGAAACTAAGGCATTGACTATTGAATCTAAGTGTTTGATGTCCCAAAAATAAGACAAAAGTATGATTTGTGTTTATACTTTTATATAACCTGCACTTTATATAACCTGCTTTTCTCCAATAAAGTTATATATTTGTTCTCTATTAACTGCTTTGTCTATGCTTATGAATGTTTAAATGTACTGAATACTACATTAAAATAAAAGCAGTACCAAACCTTAGGTGCCCTGTCTAAAGTTAGTTATCTATGGATTATGTGACAAAAAGATCCTGTCACTACCCCCGAATAAACAAGGGTTATAACTTGGGATTGCATGTTTTTCCATTGGTGTATTCAAGCATTTTTATTTTAAACAATAAAGGCCACAGCAATTTGACACAAATATTTACAGTAAAATAACTGGACATTAACATTATTGTATTCAGACTAGTATTGGTAAAGCATGCAAGAAATGCTTAAAATATATACCAGAATACATTTCTATGCTGAGAGCAGAAAAAGGAAAACATGGTTGTTTTCAATATGCAAGTAAAGTTAAATATATCCTCATCATTCAGCATGTTTGCATTCCTGTTTGCTCAGTCACACAGCCATGCTGTAGAGTCAAATTCAGCAGCATGTTGTTTTACAGCAGAGCGCCAGCGTTCTGGGTGAAGCCCGCCCACAGAATTGTATGAATTGTAACAGCAATTTTAAAACTCACAACACATCGCTACTACCACAACACATCGCTACTATAATACCAAGTTTCAAAATAATAATAACAGCAATAAATATCTGGTTTTACTTACTGAAGAGTACAATAAAAATGATAATCTGCATCAACATTTTATTCTTCTGGAGGACTACTTAAAAATAAGCACAATTAAGATAAAACTTTCTTCATAAACTGTTTAAAAATTACAAGGGTCCTCTGTGCTGTAATAGTCAATGTTGTTCAGTTCATATATTTGTCAATAACGAGCTCTGTGCATTTCATACAGTAGATTAGACTGTTGTGAGTTCAATGTCAGAAACTTAAAAAACCAACAGCTTCTACTGAAACTTAAATTCCTTCTGAGCAAAAGGTAAACAAAGTAAAATAATTTGTGAAAGAAAAGCAGAACTCCTGGGCAGTGATCAAACCTACCCTCCCCCTACACCTAACCCTAAACCTACCCTCATCCTAAACCTAACCCTAAACCTAACCCACAGAGTCCTGACGCCACAGCATCCAGCCAAACGATGCCCAATTTTAGCCACAATTTACCAAACTAATTACGGAGCTCTGAAAGATTTTTACCAAACGACTTAGGAAATTGAAATACACTCCAATTTGACTTGGAAAACCTGTGTACATGCTCTATACACTATGATAATTTTAATGTAAATTTCTCTTTTTAATAACCTGATTATTAGGCAGTTTTATTGGGATGTTCTAACCAATAAAGGTAAAAGTGCAGATAACCACTAAGAAATATATAAATACAATGTGAAGGATATGGAAAGGCCGACATATAAAAAAAAATAAATACCATCCAGCAATGTCTGAGGAAGCTTTCTTACAACAGATGTGCAGACCCAATTGATAACAGGCTGGTTGCCTGAGGTTGTGCGTCTAAACTTCGTGAATGGTGCCAGTACTTAATGTGCACTGTAAGTGTTTTTTTTTCCCCCTTGCAAAGAACTGTGAACCCAAAAAACATATATGTGCTGAAAAGGACTTCGTCAGAAGTGGAGTATAGCTATAAAAGTACAGATTTGTTTAGAGAAAAACGTAAGCATTTGCCAAAGATAACAGGAAAACAGCCAAGTCGTTTGGAATCCAAACTGTCTGATTCCATTAAAGCTTAGAACCTGTGTATCACAGGGGAGAACCTTGCTGTCAAGATAAGGTACAGTGCTCAGGGTTCTTTAGGCCCTTGGGATCAAGACCAGGCTGTTGGTCTTGATGGTCCTTAGGAGGGCTGGGAGGAGGACCTGCCTGGCTATCTGCATCGGCCCTCTGTTCCTCAGCAGGATTACTCAGAGACGAGGAGTCCTCATTCGATTCTGCCTGCACTAAAGGTGGGGTAGTATCAGGAATATTCTCCTGTGCTTCACACGGGGCGTCACCTGGAAAGGATTCCTGTAAAATCACACTGTCACACCACTCTGAAGAGGTCTCCGCCAGCACCTCTTCATGAGGCATGCCCCCCTCTGCTCTGCTCTGGGGACGCCCAATAATCCCGCCTTGGGGAGGGCTGGTGTCCAAAGCTAAAGAAGGCAATTGAGCAAAGGCCTTTTGGACTATTCTATTAAATCTGGCAAGGGGGCTCTCACTGGTCACAGTGCTGTCTGCCGTCTGCTTATTCTCTTGGTGGTCTTCAGTAACTGCAGTCTGCGAGCCTTCAGAATCCACTGATGACTGCTTAAGTACGTCCCTGAATGGAGGGGTATGTGAACTACCTTCTTCATTGGCAGATTGCTCTGATGAAGGAAGAGCACCGTCTGGAGTGGTCTCTGAAGACCTCTTCACTGGAGATTCCACTGTCCCTTGTGTAGATCCCAGGCCAGATGGGCTGCTGTCTTGCTCTATAATCACCACTGCATTTCCTGTACTATCCGTCACACCAGGTGTGGCCTGATTCATCTGATTATGCAGAGAGATAAAAACTAAACTAATTATGTAGCAGAGTACAAATTCTCAATATACAACAAATCCATAAAAATGTCTCCAAATAGGCAACTGTTAAGTAATATATTTGTTTAAAACTATATATTCCAGACACATAAAAATTTCAGGGTCACTAAAAACATTCATTTTTTAGTGGTTTTACACACAAAAGTATGAGGGGCTCCTGATATCGTCACAAACTACACTTAATCAAACAATTCAAATACTAATTACATCAATAACATTTCACCAAAATAAATAATTCTTGCCATTAATCCCCTTAAGTTTAAAGTGATTACAATGTGCTTTTGTTTGTACACTGGTGTGCATCTGCTATTTTCCCACCCTCACCGCTCTCAGGCTCTCCAGCTCTTGCATGAGAGCATCCACAGTATCCTCCAGTTTCTTTCTGGTCTGCCTCTCTCGCTCCAGCTCCTGAAATAGAACATACTACACATGCAAAGCAATTCGTTTCCTGCATGCCAGTGGTGTCAGTGACCAATGTTTTGCCTACAAGGTAGTAATAGATTGAATGAGGCTTTGAAACGTGAAGTGGGTAGAATTATTGTGCTCCGGCAGTCATCGATTGGTTCATCCCACTTCTTGTTGGTCACTTTATGGATTTGTGGTGGGTGACCCTGCAAGATGACTGATATCGACCGTAATCTCACTCATCACAGGCTTTAAAGCAAAGCTAGACGTCGCTTTTGCTGCTTGAAGGCGCACAGACGCCATACCGCACTGGTGTCTCCAGCTTCCCGTTGTGCCTCGGCGAGCATCTCCTCCGCCCTCTCGAGGGCGTCCTGCAGACAGTCCACCTGAAACACCAGTGTCTCCCGCTGGAGCTCCAGACCGCGCAGCTCCTGCAGAGTGTCACTGTAGCACGCCTGGAGGTCCAGCTTCAGGAGAACAACCACACGTACGGACTTTCAAGACTACAGAAATATATTCCATATGCTGACATTCACACACGTAATATTACACTGCAACAGAGTTTTTTTTATTACTCATCACCAAATGGAAAAATGGAGTAATAACAGTAAGATATTAACAGTCTCAGTTGCCACTTTTCTTCTTAATTCACATATGAGGTAAGGAGCATGCACTGATTACAGCGCGTAAGGAGCATGCACTGATTACAGCGCGTAAGG